GTTCATCTCTTTGTATCTCAAGGCCCCCTCCTTCCACTCCTCATTCCATTGATTCTCTTAATTATTTCCGTCCTTATTCTCGGGAGATATTTTACTGGCCAGTATGTGAACTTCTCCCAATGTGTTCATATCTCATTACCTTCACAATCTGGCAGTTTCCTTTTCGTCTTCCCCCTGTGGCTGTGTTCACTACCTCTACTAGATTTTAACAGGGTGGTGAGTAATGTGTTATCTGACTTACAGTTATTGTTCTTTTCTTTTCTAAAGCCCCTATTGATTTCTTTTGGATCCCACTCATTGGCAAGTGTTGCCCAGTCGGGTATGCTTGTATTTAAATTCTGCACTAGCAACCTTTATATTGGCTCCTGGTTGCAATGGGCTCTGTCGAGATAAGGTGTTCTATAAGACCATCTGGATGGTGATATCATATTACAGTATTTCTAATGGACCACTACTCATGGAGTATCATGAGTTAAACTAAAGGGGATTTTGCCAGTCCCTGCTGATGTTAGAGCTGAATCAGTCGAGATCAGTTTGCTTTTAAAAATTAGGGAATGTGGTTCACCTGTTGCACTGTCTCTGGAGATCTGTTCCTCAGGTCTCCCCAATACTTATGTCCCCCCCCCCTTACTTCTACTAGTGGAGCTTGGGAGTCCTTACCACACCCAGTTCCCAGTCACTTGGATGGTGGACAAAGGATTTACCTTTGGAGTGTTGAGTTTTCTCCACTCACAGAGAAGAGGGCAAAGTTGGGGACCTTCCTACCTGGGTCCCTGGAAGTTTTTCCCATATATCAGTAGGAACAGGACCAACCTACGTGGGAGCCTACTCGTAAAACCAGTCCAGATTGGTAGGGGGGGGGGGGTGCTTGGACCCTCTTATGAACACTCTCAGGTCTTATGTTGTTCATGCAGTAACATCCTCTCCTTAGTTCCATGGGTAAGTGGAATTCTCTTTGCCCACTTGGTGGGGGAGTAAAGACAACTGTAAATCCAGACTGGATGAGTTCTGGACTTTGGTGGAGTATGGCATATGATCCTATCAATCTAGACCTGGGATGTTGCCTTTTGGACTTCTTCAGGTTGATCAGAAGGATTGTCCACTTTGGTGTTGCTTTCTTTCTATCATAAATCCGGTGGTTTGAAATGCATCATTCTGTGGTTACTGGTAGGGATCCTATCACAAAGATGTATATATATATATATATATATCTGCGGTCCAACTGCCCTGGCCACCAATATGGGATATGGATACTATGACCCCTTGAATCCAACCAGAGTTGTGGAACCTCATCTGTTTGGTCGGGGCTGGATTATCATACTTGTATTATATTCCACCCTTTTCAATTTTCTGTAGTTCTGGGTGAAGAGTATACCTGTTCTGGATGTAGTGCGGTGTCCCCCACTTTGATACCACTTCTCGTGGTACATATTTGTTCTCTGCAGGCACTTTTTGTATGATCTCTGTCCTCACCGGCCCCTCTGCCTTCTCAATGTGGGATTCAAGCTATTAGTGTCAGCAGAGGTATGTATATTTTGGAAGTTATCATTTTCCTAAACTGAAAATGTTTTTCCAAACATACTTACCTCTGCTGACACTCTCCCTCTCTTCCTCCCCAGTAAGAGCTGGTGTTAGTGACTGGAATGTGGTAAGTCTTGAAAAAGTAATTTTATTGTCTGCATACAGTGCTTATATACAGTACCTGCATAGAGGGTGTATGAGGGCTGGCGTAAAGTTTTGCAAATTAGATATTGCCGAGAGCAGTCGAGTGGGGTATATAAGGACTGGAGCAAGCAAACAGAACATTAGATGACAAAGATGAAGATCGAGAAATAGATATTAGTGTCAGTGGAGGTAAGTATGTTTAGATATGCATTTTCAGTTTAGGAAAATGATAACTTTTATTTGCTGTTTCAAAAATAGCTGTTAAACCTGACTGGTAATTAAACTTATAAAATTGATATGTGTATGTACTTGTATATATGACAGTGGCGTAGCTACCATGTATGCTTGTATGCTCAAGCATCCACATCATTTCTACAATTGTTTTTAAGATATATAATATATATTTAATGTATAAACATAAAATATAAAGAAATATAAAAGTAACATCTTCCTATTCGTTCATTCAAATTTTATTTCAATTTCTCACTGGTTATAACGACTTGCTCCCCATACTCCCCCACCAGGGCTTCACATGTATGCATCCACATACATTTAATGCTGGCTACACCATAGTATGAAGTATTTTACCAGTAGGTGCCTATATACTGAATAGTGTTCAGTTTTTTAATATCAGTTACTTAAAAAGCTAAATAAATTATATCTGTGTATTAACAATTAGCCTGCAAATTGATGAGACTGAATTTGGTGACACCACCATGTGTGTTCTGATTGTTTCGTAAGCATCTAATATATATATATATGTATATATAAAAAAAGAAGAAGACAAAGCACACCAAAAAGGAAGGAACAAAACAAAAACAAACAAATAGATGTCTGTATAACTCTTGGAACTAAACACTACATTAATTATGTTTGGAATCATCAAATCCCACAAAAGGGCCAGCATTGCCTCACAGGGAATTCTTTTCCGAAATCCACATCAAGTGGGTGAGTACAGAGAGTGTTAAACCCATCTGCCCTTGTTCAGTGACCACCAATGAGGTGAGGTTTTCTGCAAGACTACTTCAGGTATATCACTGTATATTTAACCAGGCCATTTCTGCACCTTTGCCCAAAAAAGAAGAACAAAAAAGCAGTGCATGGTGTAGTCTTGCCCTTACACTTGCTATCTAGTCTTGGTAACCCATTCCATTGTCTCTCATTGAGGACCCAATTCCAGATAATTGAACCTGAAAGCAGTGGTCCATGCACACACATACATACATACACACACACACAAACACACACACACACACACACACTGGTGTTCTCCATGATTTCCTTCTCTTCTGTTCTTTTAGTGGAACACTCATGAAAGAACCCTTACTTCCCCAGTCTTAAGCCACTGTGGATGTTGATATAGAGAGTTTCCTCTGCAAGTCGTGTCTCCTCCCTTCTCTGGTAAGAGACAGACTATGCTCACCACTCAATTGAGATGTAGAGTTGGGGGTGTAATCTTGAAGGACACCCCATTACAATATCTCCTAAGAAATAAATGTTAATATGCCCAGCCAGATGAACTTGGATTTTCCTCAGGACACAGGTGAGGGCTTCTCTCCTTCCTCCACCTGTCTGTATAATTTCTATCATATGCAGTATTTAGTGTTTAACCAAGATGGAACAGCTTGATTCCCTACCAATACTACACAATTCCAACCACATTGGCAACATGTAACCACCAGCACAGGATTTTCCTGATATCATTTGCTTGACCAACACAATAAAAAATGAATGAAAGTATTCTCTGCTTGACAGATGTAGTCTCCCACAGAGTGCTGCTCCACTAGGTGACCCCCCCCCCCAGTCTCATGGATGTAATGGCTTTTCCTTTTTCTTTGTAATTGATCAGTGCTGGCCACTTCACTTTTTTAAATGTGAAATTCTATCTCTTAGTGGTGTAAATATAGGTAGTGTTGCTGAAGTTAGCATTTTATTTACCTGCAAATGTATTTCAGGTAGATACATACTTCTCTATACAACACGCTCGCCCTCCATTTTCACTTGTGGTGCATTTCATTTGCCTCATCATGTGCTAATGCTTATGGGGATTACAGTGCATGGAGTTTGTCACCCTCTTTATGGTGGCGAGCTACAGAATTATGATGATTAAGTTGTACCCTGGTGCAATAATACACAAAAACGTAGGGGTGAGAATTTGTTCAATGCTTTTGGCATGTGCAGGAAATTCCATGGAAGTTGTGTGAAAGGGAATAGCTCTTAGTGGTGCAGAGAGGTAAGTATCTATCTTAAATGTATTTTGAGGTAAGGAAAATGTTAACATTTAGTTTTCTTTACATTTTATCTTGGTGAAAGTTAGTGTTCAGCTTTGTAAGAAACATAATGATAGTGCCCTTACATTAAATGCTGGTGAAAATTTGGTAGCTGTGATCCATCAAAAATAAAGTGATAATTATTAAATGGTTCTTTAACTTCTATTTCTATCACAATCTGATAAAATACAATATTTCCTATCCTAAAAAACAAAATATGCATATTCAAGTGTGTTATTTGACTTTTCTCAGATAAAACATCAAAAATTGTAATTGTCATAACAGTATAAGGCATTTTTTCGTATTTTTAATACTCCATGTTTATGATGGATAAATTTCTGTATTTAGATTATTTATTGTATGATAAAGTTAATTTAGGAAAATACTAACCTCTTCAATTTTGATAGAGCCTATTGATTTTTCTACAGTAAATACTTTCTTCATTGATATTTAATTTGATAACTGTACATAGACTTTGACAACTCATTAACTAGTATATTTGTTGAATACTTACAATGTAAAACTAAACTTAAAATAGCTTTAAAAGTACTATTTGGTGATTTAACGTATTTTAAAGAAACCATGTTAGTTGTTGAAAAATGAGACATGTACAACAACTACAAGGTTTAAGGTTAATGCAATATAATTTTGTTATATATGTCCAACTTCAACCTACTGAAACACCATAATTTTTCAGAAATGATTAATTTCAGTGATTTTTAACACAATTTATCACCTACTTTACACTAAAATGTGAAAAATATTATCTTAGCATTAAATTCTTCAGATTTACTAGTTTTTGTATATAATATACTCCTGTTTCTTAATAATGTACCTTCTTTTGTAATCTCACACAGACTTTGATAGTGATACTGATAATAATACTTTAGGGACAAAATCTTGCACATTTTATGATCATTGCTGCTCAATAGCTCTTACTGCTTAAGGCCATAAATAGAGAATTGCTTATTGCGGTCACCAGTGGAATGGAAAATCTCCTTTCAGTGTTGTTCCACCATTGAAACTTTACCTCTCAGCCAAGCATTCACTTTCAACTCCTCGTGCAGTTAGGATGAACAAACATATTTTTTTTTTTGTACAGTTTGGTAAATTTATAGATGGCCCTAATAAATCTGCTAGTGTCCTGTTTTTCACTTGCTTCTTCAGTTCTTAATTAAAAATTAACATGCCTCACTAGCATTTTAATTCCATGAATAGGAATTGAATTAAAAGTTATTTAAATTTTAGGTTAACTAATTTTTAGCTTATATTTCATAACAAAATAATTATTGCATTGACTAAAAAATAAAATGTTGATATAAACTGAAATATGTAGCTATTGTTAAATTATTAAGTTTTTAATTTATTTAATAAAATACAAAAGTATTTTTGTGATTCTTTAGAAAATGGACAGTGAAGAAAAACTTCTACAGTTTGCTCCCTTCAGTTCGTGCTTGGATCCTGGATTTTGGTATCAGCTAACACAACGTAAAGTAAACATATATAAATTGGACGACAGCCCAGTGTCAATAAGTGGCTTTTATTCTAATGGTAATCAAAGAATATATATATAATTATATGCACAACAGTATATTAGAATAGATGTTTAAAATCTATCAGATAGTTATTTCAGTGTTAGCAAGTATGTTTTTGAAAACATTAAATGAACTTGATTATTATAAATTTAAAAAGTACTTTTTTAAATGTTTTCAAATTGTATTTAAGTGAAGTGAATCTTTTATATTATTGATAAAACATCAATATTATAATTGAGATTTAAAGTTAGTTATAGCCTTTTCATGATTAAAACAGTATCATACTGATGCTTATACTAATGTACAATTCAGTTGTGGTTATTGTATTATATATATACACTTTTTTTCGTGTTAAAATGTTAGTGGTAGGGTCCATGTTTCAGGAGTGTTTTTCACTTGCGTTACAATAAAGAAAGGTGAAAACATAACATGGAAATTATTTGAATAAAATACATCTATCTCTGTTTTTCAGTCTGTTAAACTTACCAGTCTGAAAATAACACAAAAGATGCATAAAAAAACCTGACCAAATAAAATTTGCTTTATGGACATTTCGTTTTGAATAATCACCCTTTTCCAGATTCAAATGTGAAATCCAGATTTGAAAGAGGGTAGTTGCTTGAAACATTTTTCTTTCCTTCATTCAAGATTGCTAATCAATTTTAGCACTTTAATCGTAGAATTTATCCAACGGAAACCTCAAAGTAACTAATTCATTTGTTCCTGTTTGTTAACTATCTCATCAATTATCAAATCAGAGAGGGTATATTCTGCTTCTGAATAATCTTGATTCAGTAGTTCAAAAGTATTTTTATGGATATCGGTTCTTACCACAAAAATATATTTCAGGTTAGAACTTTAAAGTTATCATAATCCTTAATAAGTAAAGTACCAATTTCTTTTTATCCTAAAATCTCCAATCTAGCAAAACAAGTGTTTTTATATAAATATCAGTTTGTAAAAACATCATAGTTTTGCAAAAAAATAAAGTTTGTTTGTGTTTAGTCAAAGCCTTTTTTTTTGTATTGAAATAGTAAACTATAACTATAATTTTCAAACAATGAATTTTATTATGCATTTACTTTCAACATAGTGGTACTGGAAAGTTTCCTTCATATGACATTTTCATTTGGCATTTCTTTTTTTTTGTTAAACAATCTATGTTTTGGGTGGAATTCAAAAAGAAAGTTACCTTAATTTAGGTAAGAATATTTGTTCTATAATCTAAGTAAGTGTGATACAAACTAAGAATTCCAGTTTGCAGAAACATACATTTTTAAAGGGCTCAACCAAAACACGTTTTGAAGTTAAAGATAGAAATAGTCTTAGAATTGCAGTTAGTTTGCTTTTGGATTTTTTTTAAAGAAAAAAAAAACAAAAGAAGGCAAACTTCTTCCCTAAATAATTCCATGACCTTTTCCTCTATGTTTTTCTAAGCAAAGTTAAAATGATTAAAAAAAAAAAATAAATACTGTACATTTGGAGGAAAATTATCAACTTGTTTGTATGCCTTTATTGTAGGAGAAGCACCAGGACTCCCAGTTTTAGCAAATATAGACTACACAGCATTTGATGGGTAAGTGTTGTATATTAGTTAAAGTTAGCATGTTTCCCATGATAAGGTACATTTTGATTTTTTCAAAAATATCAGAAATAGTAGTAGATGTAATTTAATACATAACAAAGTGCTCTTAGACTTTATATAAATATGAATTGGAACTCATAATAAATATTAAACTGTTTTGTTGGCTAAACATTTTAGTTTTAAACCTTCATCAGAAATTCCATTCATAGTAACAAATTTTCTTAATGAACAGTAACACTTCAAAAACAGGAGAACAAACAAAACTTGACATCTGTTTGAGGCACATAAGACAAATTTTGAGAAACAAAATAATTTAATGATTTGTAAAAAATGAATTGTCATATACTCCAGATTGATACACAAGATGATACTGACAAATCACAGAAAATTAGGTTGAGACTTGGGAAAAGAATGGATAAGAATCATTGATTAGAATGAAGTTGAAAATTGCTTTATTGATTATACGTGTTTTAAAGTATTAAATTTTCAAGGAATTTTCCTTTTAATTTTTCTTCTTTAAAATAGCACATTGATCCAATTGAATTGCTAGATTCCTTTTTGTATTGTTTGGTTAAGTTAAGACTAGGATATGTGTGCAAGTATTCCTAAATTTCTGTACGACACTTTAAGATGTATCTACCAGGTACACATCACTTGGGACATCTTAATATTGAGTAGTATCAGTATTCAATGGGCCCGGCATGGCCAGTTGGTTAGGGCGCTCGATTCGCAATCTGTGGGTCGCGGGTTCGAATCCCCATCACACACACTCGCCCTTTCAGCCATGGGGGCATTATAATGTGACGGTCAATCCCACCATTCGTTGGTAAAAGAGTAGCCCAAGAGTTGGTGGTGGGTGGTGATGACTAGCTGCCTTCTCTCTAGTATTACACTGCTAAATTAGGGATGGCTAGCACAGATAGCCCTCGTGTAGCTTTGCACGAAATCCAAACCAACCAAACAAACAATATTCAACATTGAAATATATTGGAGTAAGAAGTGATTTGATGCATGCTATAATGCTTTACAAATTGGAATAGAACTTTTTCTAGTTTTACATGATTATGGAAAAATCTGGAAAGTTGTGGATGTGTTTTCATGATCAGATCATTAAAAGTCATGAAATATTGTAAAACCAGAATATTTTTGACTGGTATAAATTTTCTTGTTCTCATGGAAATTCTTGGTACCTAAGAGTTAATGAGAATGAATATTAAAGCTATTCTACCCAGTAAATGTGGTCTTTGGAAATTGCAAATTTGTCATGGAAAAATTTGAGAAACATCTTTAAAATGTATAGAACTTTGTGTTTATGTATGAAATTGCAACACCTAATCAATTGCATTATTGGTGACTTGAAAGATTACTTTTGTATTATTATTATTTTCATTGCTAAGCATTGATAGTAACATTTGGCAAAAGGTTTTCAAATTAACTAAGATTTCTGGATTGTTGTTCAAGTTTTTGAGTAAATATTGAGACTGTAATTCAGAAATAATTGTAATGTAGTTGTGTGTTGTTATGCATGGCCTTCTAGTGTTATTTTGTATTTCTTTAGGAATCGTAAGGCACCAGCACATCAATTTACCTTGATGGGCACATTATACAACACCAATATTTTGGACGAATTTAAACAGAAAGATAAGCAGAAGCTCATCTTAGATTTTGGAAAACAAGTAAGGAATAATTTTATATCTGGTGTTCATTTGTATTAACACTTTCGCCACATATCCTTTACTGCACATGACACAAGGTTTTAGTGTCTTATATTAAAGATTTTATTAAACTACTTTTTGTTTATGTTATACCAATTAGTATAGCTTAAAATCTTAGCTAATAATCCATATTTTAATAGTATATAGGTTTTAAGTTCTTAATTCTACAAGGCAATATTAAAAAATATCTAGAATTTCCCCTAGTGTGACACATTTTCTTTAGGCATCTTATTTTCTCAATTATACCCACCATCCCTTCAAAAAGTATGAAATTAAATGTAAATTACTCATTATAAAATCATCATTGCTAGACAAACCATAATTTTTATACCCTTTAATTTTGTTTGGTTACAGAGCTGTCAAATAGAAAATCAGACCTCTCGTGCCATGCCCATCTGTCACATCCTCTCTTTCAGGATTTGTTAATAGATCTTTTACATTTAATTATACACTACCTATAACCAATAGAAAGTCGAGGTTTTCATCTATCAAATGACATATTGTATAACAATGTGTTCTGAACAGCTAAGCATCAATTTCACTTATAATACACAGTTCATTCTCATGGACTAGCTTGGATGAATTTGTTATGGCTCTTGTCATATAGCTAGAAAGCTAGTTTGGGGAAAATTGTCTACTTTTTGCATGTTATTAGTCTATGTTCTTTGGTACATTATTTGATTAAATAAAAATTATTTAGTGCATTACTACCATTAGTAATAAAGAAGTAGGGTTAAATGTCATCGACAATTGACAGCAAGAAAAAAGAAGATTGGGTAAGTATTTTATTTATTATTTTTCATGTTTATTCTTTATTTATTATTATAAAAATAACTAAAATGTAAAAGTAGGGATCTTTTTAGGTTAGTAAAGATAAGATTAGGTAAAATAAATAATAAAAATGTTTCGCAAGACACGCATGCAAGCAACTTGTAGTAGCTTGTGGGTAATGTAATTTGATAGCATAATGCGAACTGCATGTTCCCCGAGTGATTTACAACTTATAATGGCTCAGATAGTAGTTAGACACAAATCAAAGAGTAATCAGAAGGGCAATAAAACAATAAAATTTAATTATAAATGTATACTGTTACAAGCTTAAAGCTACTTAGGATAAACAAATGTAGTTTCATATTGCAATTTTAAGTCATTCTAGAAATAAAAAAGGTTAATATAGATTTAATTTGATTGTTTATTTTTTTATAGTTACAAGATCAGTCAAATTGACCGATCCCGTATTGGAATAGGGTAGAGAAAATAACAGATAAGATATATACTGAAAAATGTTTGAAATGTATTTAAGAGGTTTTAGGGATTACATAAAAGAAATTTAAGATTTTTGAGATGAAGAAAAGAAAACAAATACTCAGTATATTCATGGTATATTCATTAAAAATACTTCCCTAAAAACGAATTTTTGTACATGAATGTCAGAATTTTAAAATCTGTTCCTTATCAATTGTCAAAATAAAAAGGCTTTTAGTTATATTTCTTAATAGTATAAATATATACTATGTTGTTGTTCGGCTTAGGATTCTTCCACAGTAGGTGTCTGTGACTTGTTAGCAATGAATAAACAGCACTCAATTCACTTGTTTTCAAAATAATATGTATATATTCAGAACAAGTTAACGTATGTACAATAAATTCTTCAACACTATAGATATTATGGGTATATCATAAATACTATATATGTAGTTCTCTCCTCGTCAAATATCCACTTAGGCCTATTCAATTACTTTAGAATTTCAGTTGACAAGCCGAAATATCTTCTCTATTTCTATCACACTAGTACTCTCTGTGATTCAATTACAGTTGTGGCACGAGTTACCATAATTGTTTGGTCTTTTTTCTTTTGAAAATCCTCTGTTCCTTTTGTCAAAGTGCACTCAGGCTGATTCAATTACTTTAGAACCACGCTCTGACGGAATAGAATTATTTTCCTTATCTTCTTTTCTACTGTTAGTTTCACTCTAACATATTAAACATTAGGCTTATGTCAGTTGTTAGGGCTATCACATCTACGGTACTTAACTTCACGCCAACTTTATTCTCTTTCACTATTATCTGTCTACTGCTTCCTGCTTGTCTCACACTATTTATATCATTATCACTTATTCGTCTGCCCACCTTCTATATTCTCGACGTCAATAAATTATTAACAAAACTTCCTACATTCATCTGCTTTTAACTCTTATTATAACAAAAATTAAACAATAATAAAATTTTCACTCACTATAATAAATTAATCAATAATATCTAAACTAAATAGTCTTTTATATCATGACAATGAAAGACTTAAAATTTGACTGAAAGACTGCCAAATTTCATGAAAATATACACACTATATTGATAAAAGTATTAAATGTATAAAGACTTTAAACGAGTACAAAAAAGTCATGTAGTATATAAGTAGTTTGTCCTTGAATAAAGTCATGTAGTTGGATTTAGTGGTTGTATAATTTTTAGGCTGTAAGATTTTAGAAAGTTTCTTGTGAATGGCTGTTTTTGTTGTTTTTTTAGTAAAAAGTAATTCCTTTCATCTTAATTTATTGTTTGTATGTTTAAGAATCTTGAAAATGTGTCCAGTAGTTATTTTTTTTAGTAAAGCTATAATTTCTATCTGTTTTTTGTTCTAATAAAAGCATACTCTCTTTTTCTCATTTGTTCATGCTGCTGTAAGCTGTTTTTTAAATTTAGACTTTTCACTAAGGTTAACTGGAGGGAGTTTCTTAATGTCAAGTGATGCGCTTGTACCTTAATTGATAGAATTTCCTAAGTTGATGGTTTGAGCAATATTTAAAAGCTCAGACACTTCACAATAGACTGAGACTGTTGATTGATTAGTGAGTCTGTTACAATGGTTGTTTGATTATTGAGTTAACAAATACATTACTTAATTAGTCAGTTTTGTGAATATACAAGAAAGCTGCATTGGTATGAGGGAACTTGGAAAGTATGTGTTTTTTCTGATTTGATATCTTACTTCTCAAAAAAAGCTCTTTCTCTATTAGTACTGCCCCCTACTGGGACAAATTTTTCACTTGCCACTAGCCTTGTAATTCCCACTTCTTTCTGCATATCTACATGCAAATGATCATGCAGCTACCCTACACCAATAGGAGTGTGACACTACCCCTATTGTAAGTAATGCCCTTTCTAATAATGCATCTCTTAATCACTTCTCGATTGGCAGTCTTACAGTTAAGATGTGTTTGTTTTCGAGAATATTTGAATTTTTTTCTGGATATCTTTGTTTTTAGATACCTTTTGTTTCTTTGGTTTGAATTTGTATTTTGTAAGTATGCACTCACAGTTTTAAGTAGTTACTACTTCCACTGCTGTTCTTGTTCTAGCACAGTTATCAGCAAATGACGTGACTACTGTGATCTGTAGTGAATTGTCTAATTTCATGCAATATTCACCATCATTTGAGGAGCATCCTGTCATACCAGTGCCTGGTGTGTCTGACAGGGAGGATGAGAATTTGGTCAGCCTTTCTCCCCATCCTGAATATGCTTCTCAATCTCGTGTCATATCAGGGGACTTGCTCAGGCCTCCTCTCTTTGTTGACTTGATTCATCAGGTATGTTCGATTTTGTCTTTGTGTCCTGTTTCCTATGATTCTACCCATACCCTCCTTGGGGACAAATCTTTGGGTCAATATCTGGTTTTTCCACCTTCATGAGATATTGGGGTTCATGCTAGTTGTTTTGCGAACAGTTGAGAGCAGGGGCAGTGTGCCTCATCCCCAACATACATTGGACAATCATGCTTTTGCTTTTCTTCATGTCAGCTACCCTATTTAGACTCACAATGTTTGAAAACTCTTATTTCTTTGTGGTGTTTAGACCCTAATACTTCAGTTTTTTTTTCCCAACTATTTGGAGTCCAGGGTCGAATCAGCCCATCTACATCACTCCATACCCTCATTGGTTTTTTTGTTTGTCCCTAACACCTGTTCCTGTCTCAGTGGCATGCCTCTTACTTTCTAACCTTCAGCATCTGTGACTTGATTCTCAAGTAAGGGCTGGTGGGAGCCAGACTCTTGCACTTCACCCGTGTCTAAAGGTCTTTCATGGTTGATCTGTGGGTTTTAAAGGTTATTTTTGATGGACTGACTCTTCATTTTCTGTTATTTCCACCATTGTCTCCCCATCCTTTTTCCTCCCCTACTCCACAGGATCCTGTTTCCTGCCAGCATGTGTTGGAGGTGGTTCAGGATTTACTATGCAAGTGTGCATCAAACGAGGAGAGCCTTTTCATCCAGGGTTTTACTCTCACCTGTTTGTCATTCCCATAAAAAACAGGAGACTGGCATCCATGATCAACTTATTGTCTCTGAATTGTTTCCTTGTTGTTCCCAAGTTCATCATGGAGTCATACATAACTCTCCATTAAGTTATCACTCCAGATCTGTGTCAGATGCATATTTTCATATTCCCATTTCCACAGCATACCAATCTTTCCTTTGCTTTGTTCATTATTGGTGTGTTTTTCAGTTTGAAGCACTTCTGAGTGGCCTAGCTGTGGCTCCTTATGTGTTTTGTAGAGTTGTCAGGTCATTTGGTCAACTGCTTCATTCCCAGGGCCTTTGTTTCTACCATTACTTGGACGATTGGCTACTGCCGGCATCCTCAGACTGACTCTGCCATCCATACTCAGTTTCTTCTTTGGGAAGCTGCCAAGGTCGGTTGGCTCATCAAGGTGGAAAAGTCATTCCTCACACCTACTCAGTCTCTAGTTCATCTTGGTGTGTTTATCAATTTACTTTTCAGTTGGTCTCTGCCTGACCTTCTCCTTCTGCTTAGGAGGTTCTATCTCTTTTGGGGTTGTGCCCACATGCATCATCTTCTCTTACCCTTCCATCTCCATTACTGACAGACTTTGCCTAGTGGATAGATTAGATGAATACTACTGTGGGGGTTCCTCTTTCTCCGCCTCGTCTGGATTGTCATCTT